TAGGTTCTTTTGAATTGATGTTTCACAATTCTTAGGGTATAATCCCAGTAGTGGGATTGCTGGATCAAAAGGCAGTTCCATTTTTAGTTTTCTGAGGAAATTCCATACTGTTTTCCATCGTGGCTGCACCAGTCTGCATTCCCACCAACAGTGCACTAGGGTTCACTTTTCTCCACAACCTCGCCAACACTTGTTGTTTGTTGATTTGGTTATGATTGCTATTCTCAACTATATGAAGTGATATCTCATTATGGTTTTAATTTTCATCTCTTTGATGGCTAGTGATGCTGAGCATCCTTTCATGTATCTCTGGGACCTCTGTATGTCCTTGGAGAAGTGTCTGTTCAGGTCCTTTGCCATTTTGTAATTGGATTGTTTGTCTTCCTGGTGGGGAGTCCTGTGAGTTCTTTGTATATTTTGGAGATCAAACCCATGTCTGAGGTATCATTGGCAAAAATGTTTTTCCATATAGTTGGTTCCCTTTTCATTTTGCTGATGTTTTCTTTAGCCTTGGAGATGCTTTTTATTTTGATGAAGTCCCATTTGTTTATTCTTTCCTTTATGTACCTTGCTCTAGGGGACATATCAGTGAAGATACTGCTGCATGGAATGTCTGAGATTTTCCTCCCTATGTTCTCCTCTAGGGCTTTTATTGTGTCACATCTTATATTTAAGTGTTTTATCCATCTTGAGTTTATTTTTGTGTATGGTGTAAGTTGGTGGTCAAGTTTCCTTTCTTTGCATGTAGCTGTCCAGACTGCCCCAATACCATTTGTTGAAGAGACTATTTTTACTCCATTTTATGCTTGTCCCCCTTTGTAGAATATTAATTGACCATAGAGACTTGGGTTGATCTCTGGGCTCTCTATTCTGTTCCATTGGTCTATGTGTCTGTTCTTATGCCAGTACCAGGCTGTTTTCATTAACATAGCTTTGATATAGTTTGATATCAGGTATTGTGATCCCTCCTGCTTTGTTCTTCTTTCTCAAAATTGCTGCAGCTATTCAGGGTCATTTATGGTTCCATATACATTTTTGAAGTGTTTGTTCTATATCTGTGAAATATGTCATTGGTATTTTATTAGGGGTTGCACTGAATCTATAAATTGCTTTGGGTAGTACGGACATTTTGATGATGTTAATTCTTCCAATCTATAAGGATGGTACATGCCTCCATTTGTTTGTGTCTTCCTTAACTTTTTTCTTGAGTTATATAGTTTTCTGAGTATAGGTCTTTTAACTCCTTGGTTAGGTTTATTCCTAGGTACTTTATTTTTCTTGTCGCTATACCAAATGGGATTTTTCCCCCTGATGTCTGTTTCTGATATTTCATTGTTGGTGTACAAAAAAGGCCTTTGGTTTCTGAATACTGACTTTGTATCCTGCTGTTTTGCCAATTTCACTTATTAGGTCAAGTAGTTTTTTGGTGGAGTTTATAGGATTTTTTATGTACACTATCAATGTCACTTTCTATGTAAACTTTCTATGTCATCTGCAAGCAATGACAGTTTTGCTTCCTCCTTGCCAATTTGGATACCTTTTATTTCTTTTTCTTGTTTGATTGTGGTGTCTAGGACTTTCAATACTGTCTTGAATAAAATTGGTGAAAGTGAACATCCTTGTCTTGTTCTGATCTTAGTGAGAAAGCTTTTAGTTTTTAACCATTGAGTATGATGTTGGCTGTAGGTTTCTTGCATACGGCCTTTGTCATATTGAGCTATGCTCCCTCTATTCCCACTTTGCTGAGTGTTTTTTATCATAAATGGGCGCTATACCTTATCAAATGCTTTTTTTCATATCTTTTGATATGATTATGTAACTTTTGTCTTTCCTTTTGTTTAAGTGATGTATTATGTTTATTGATTTACAAATATTGTACCATCCTTGTATCCCTGGGATGAATCCCACTTGATCATGGTTTATGATCTTTTTAATGTATTGCTGGATGAGGTTTGCCAATATTTTGTTGAGAATTTTAGCATCTATGTTCACCAGCAACATTGGCCTGTGGTTTTCATTCTTTGTGGTGTTTTTATCTGGTTTTGGGATTAGGGTGATGCTGGCTTCATAAAAAGAGTTTGGGAGTCTTCCATCTTCTTGGATTTTTTTTGAATAATCTGTGAAGGATAGGGATTAGCTCATCCTTAAATCCTAAAAATTCTCCTGTGAAACTGTCTGGTCCAGGGCTTTTGTATGTTGGGAGCTTTTTGATTACTGCTTCAATTTCATCAGCTGTTATTGATCTCTTCAGGCTTTCTGCTTCTTCTTTCTTGAGTTTTAGAAGATTATATTTTTCTAGAAATTTGTCCATTTCACCTAGGTTTTCAAATTTCTTGATGTATAGTTCTTCTTAGTAATTTCTTACAATCCTTTGTATTTCTGTAGTATCAGTTGTAATCTCTCCTCATTCATTTCTGATTTTGTTTATTTGGGTCCTCTCTCTTTTTCTTTTCTTTTCTTTTTTCTTTTTGTTGATGAGCCTGCTTAAAGGCTTGTCCATTTTGTTTATCTTTTCAAAGAACAGCTTCTGGATTTATTGATCTTCAAAAATTGTTCTTTTAGTCTGTATGTCATTAAATTGTGCTCTGATCTTGGTTATTTCCTTCCTTCTACTCGCTCTGGGCTTTGTTTGTGGTTGTTACTCCAGTTCTTATAGATGTACAGTTAGGTTGTTCATTTGAAATGTTTCTGTCTTTTATAGGTAGGCCTGTATTGCTCTGAACTTCCCTCTCGGGACTGCCTTTGCTGTGTCTAATAAGTTTTAGACTGTTATGAGTTCATTTTCATTTGTTTCCAGAATTTCTTAAAAAGATTTTATTCATTTATCTTTTAGAGGGGAAGGGAAGGAGAGAGGGAGAGAAATATCAATGTATGGTTGCCTCTCGTGTGTCCCCTGCTGGGAACTGGCCTGCAACCCAGGCATGTGCCCTGACTGGGAATCGAACCGCGATCGTGTGGTTCGCAGGCCCACGCTCAATCCACTGAGCTACACCAGCCAGGGCTGTTTCCAGAATTTTTTTGGTTTCTTCCCTAATCTCATTCTTAACCCATTCATTGTTTAATAGCATGCTATTCAAACTCCACAAATTTGAGTGTTATTTTATTTTTTTTCCTTGAGATTGGTTTCTTGTTTCAGGCCCTTGTAGTCTAAGAAAATGCTTGATATGATTTCAATTTTCTTGAATTTGTTGAGGCTTGTTTCATGTCCTATCATGTGGTCTATCTTTGAAAATGTTCCATGTGCATTTAAAAAAATGTATATTTTGCTTCTTTGGGATGAAGGGTTCTCTCTCTCTCCCTCTCTGTGTATATATATATATGTATATATATATCAGTTAAGTTCATTTGATCTAGGGCATTGTTCAATGGCACAATATCCTTGTTGATATTATGTTTGGAAGATCTAACCATGGTTGATAGCGGGGTGGTAAAATCCCCTAGTATGTGTGTGTTGCTGTCTATATCTTTCTTAAAGTCCTCCAAAATTTTCCTTATATATTTGGATGCTCTTATGTTGAGTGCATATATGTTTATAAGGTTTATGTCTTTTTGATGGATTCTTCCCTTAAGTATTACAAAGTGTCTCTCTCTGTCTCTTTTTATGGCCATATTTTGAAGTTTATTTATTTTCAATATAAGTATTGCTACTCCAGATTTTTTTCCTTGTCCATTTGCTTGGAATATTTTTTTTCCAACCCTTCACTTTCAATCTGTGTAGGTCTTTTGTTCTGAGGTGGGTCTCTTGCAGGCAGCAAATGTAGGGGTCATGTTTTCTTATCGATTAAGCTGTGTCTTTTAGATGGTTACATTTAAGGTAGTTATTAATAGGTACTTATTCATTGCCATTTTACTCCCTTTATACCTGTGTTCCTCTCTCACTATAATTAGCACTTGTATGCTATTGTGCAAGTGCTGCCAAAACGAAATCACAAAGCCTAGGGAACAAACCCACATCCACAAAAATATTCTCCCCCCTGCCACAATACCACCATCAACAGCATATGAATCAGTATTAATAAGGTGGTAAAAACATTAAGACTATTATAAGAAAGGAGAGAAATAAACTATAATATAAAATATAGTAACTTAAAATGCACAAAGTTGATGGAAAAGAAATGAATGTTAAAAATCTGTGCAGGAAAGAAAATACTGCTAATCATGGAGAAGATCACAGTGGATTTTATCTTGGTAGCCTCTAGTATTTACCACTGTTTTTTCTTTCTGTATTGATCTCTGGTGAAATCAGATGTTGACCTGTCTGAACTTAAGACAGCCTGCTCCAAGACTGCCAAGGATCTACTGTCAGTGGCTGTCTCCTTTAGTTGTTAACCTAGTCACTCTGCACCTAGCAGTCAGGCGTACGCCCCCATAGGGCAGGAAAGACTTCCTCCTGGTGTTGGGGCTATTGTTTCTCCTCAGGTTGCTGCTGCTTGGAGGGAAGTGGTCTGCCTGTGCAGGATGGCTGCTGCAGTATGGGGGATGACTCAACACTGGGATCCTGGTATCTACTCTCTCAGCTTTCTACCCAAAACTCTTGTCCCCAGTCTCTCCTCAGGCATCTCCAGCACACCGTGTGCTGCTCTACATCTGCTGGAGCCCTGGGTAAGTGGCTGAAAATGAAAATGTGTGCATTGGCCCTTAAACAGCATTTTATGTCTCAAGCTCTCCATCTTTGGCAGAGAGCAACCAAGCCACTTTTCACTGTCAGTTGTTATCTGTGTAGTTTTTGGGTTCTGGTGCTCTAGGCTGGGAATCAAAGCTAAGGGTTTAGATCCCACACTTCTCAGGAGGATCCAACCATTTGTTTAATTATCCCACTGACGTGGCCACCTTTGGGTGCCCATCCAGCCTCCTCAAGTCTCCACCACACTCTCCACCAGTCAGTTAGTGCTGAAGATAATTCTTCTGTCTATCCAAGGTTATAAGGCTCTTCTCTCGCCACTGTACTATGGTTTGTTCTGGGTGATCTCCCACAATTTAGTTGTAATTCCAGATTGGTCAAAAATATGGAACACTTCAAAAATTTGCATGTCATTCTTGCACAGGGGCCATATGAATCTTCTCTGTGTCATTCTAATTTTAGTGTATGTGCTGCCAAAGCAAGCACTGGATGCTTTTTTGTATCAGCTCTATAATTCCCCAGATTTGGTGCAGCTGAGACTGACTACCTGCAGTGTATATTTACTTAATCTGACTTCAGAATTTTACCCTTGAACCAAGCCTCCTGCGTCATATGCAGGATACACAGGAATTAAGGAATACACTGGTACTTATTTGATATGTTGGTCATTTCTCCTTTTGTCCTTGGAAACTCCATTCCCTGACCTCTTTAACAGCTGGCTTCTGGGTCGTTCAGCCAATGGGAGTCATTGGGGAAGGGACTGGAAGGAGAGAGGAGGGAGAAGCTAGGGCTTCCTGCTATGATGATGTCTTTCCCAGCACCTGGGGCTCCTCAGTGGCCCTGCTTCCACTGGTGACAGCATTCATTGTGGTCCAGTTCCTGCATGTCAGCTCCACTCAGGCTTTGCTATCACAACCTTCTATCCCTGTCCCTTGTTCCAGGGCCATGGCAGCTACTGTCTCTCCTGATTGCTGGATGCTGCAGCGTGTCCACTATACCATGTCCTTTATAGTATGTGTCCTCTATTAAATTACTTTTGTGGAAAGGTTTAGAATGATTTTATCTTCATGGCAGGACCATGACATGAAAATCAAAATTCTGAGGTGACACCTTCAAAGATAATAATTGGTAATTCCTTTCTTTGAGGTGACAGGAGGACCATAGTGAAGGAATTCTCAGTATGTAAGGTACCTCAACTTATTTCAAGGAGTGACATGAAATTTTAAAAAATGTGAATTTTGGCATTATATTTCAGCTTATAGTTGCATATATGTCACAAAGCAGATTTGTGAGGAAAGCCTTAAGGGCCTATCATATTATTAAACACACTCTTCTAAAATTAGGAAATGCTATCTAGAGGAATAGAAGCTTACTGTATAACAGAAAACTTGCTTTAGACTTACCTCCAGGGGCAGCCATGAAATAGTTTAAAGAAAATATTTTTATTATCTCTGTTATTTACCATTTTCTATGTTGAGAGAGGGTTAGGTGAAATGGCAATATACATTTAGAAAGATCTTGTATAGCTCTAGTGCTTATTTGGAAATAGAAACTACCATTGCTTTCCAAGCCTCATTCATTATTATCGCTCCACCAACGCTTCCTAAGCAGCACAGAAACAACAAGAAAGCCCCTCATGATTAGAGAGAAAATGGAGCCATCTCATGCCACTGACGTGCCATATGGCCACACATCTGAAGGTTCTGAATGATGCTGCTCTCATGTAAAGCCCTGAATACCTGGTTTCATTTCCATTTCAAGTGTTTGAACTATAGTATATGGGCCACCTATTTATTAAAAGAGAGAGCTTACTTTGGCTGGGGATATATTGGTGCTTGCAGCAAGATGCTGTTTAATACACAAAGACATTCTTGACTTCCTTTCAGATTGGAGGTCTACAGCATGAGAGTGTTTAGTAAATGTGTTTTAAAACTGCATGACTATTATACAGCCCCTTTTCTTTAGTTGGCACGAGAAGGGCATTCCCATCCTCAATGCTCCGTTCCCTGCTTCCTCAAAGCTCGGTTGACAAAAACACTACCAGCCTTATCCAGCTTTTCATGGAAAGCCGCCACTCTTAACTGGCGCCTCCATGCAATTTCAGACTGTCCCGGGAGACCTTCACGCTTTGAGGTGAATTCATAACACTAGGGCCAACAAAGAAGTTAACACAACCTTATACTGTTAAGGAAAAAGAAAAAAGAGGCTGCATGCTTACTGAAGGAGCTCTGCTTCTGTGAGCGCCTCTGTCCTCTGCTCCCCAGTGACAATGGCTAGTTCATCCTTCAGCTCCTGGATTTCCTTTTGTAGGCGTATAATCATCTACAAATGTCCAGGCAGAAAGTAAATGTCAGCTCCTCGTTAAAGGGGACTTGGTGAGAGAGAACAAACATTTTTTCTTTGTTCTTTTTTTTAAAAATCCTCATCCAAAGATATGTTTACTGATTTTGGAGAGACAGGGAGGGAGGGAGGAAGGGAGACTGAGAGATAGGAGGGAGAGACGGACATTGATCAATTGCCTCCCATACACCCCTAGGTGAGCGACCACAGATCAAACTTGCAACCTAGGAATGTGCCCTGACGGGGAATTGAACCTGATACCTTTTGGTGAGACATCTGACCAGGATCATATATATTCAAATTATAAACTATTTTGAGGATGAAAAAAACGTATAGAGAATGATGTAAAAGGCACTCCCATACCTACCACTAAGCACTGTTAAATCTTAACATTTTGTTAGAATAGTTTTAAAATTATTTTTAACAAATAAAACATTACTGACAAAACTAGAACTCCTTATTCCTATTCCCCCTTCTGACCTTTCTGAGGTTATCACTGAACTGCATGTGCTGGGGAGCACTTCCCCATGTTTTCAGCTATTACTCCATATGTATGGATATACTATAAATAATGTATGGTATCATTTTCTATGCCTTAAATTTTATGGAAATGTTACTATCACTGCATCAACACTGTCTTTTATAAGAACATGTAATTGCAACTTTTTTTCCCCAGTGTGTGGTTGCCTCTCATGTGCCCCCAGCTGGGGACCTGCCCTGCAGCCCAGGCATGTGCCCTGACTGGGAATTAAACCAGTGAGTCTTTGGTTCACAGGCCTGTGCTCAATCCACAGAGCCACACCAGCCAGGGCAAGCAACTTGTTTTTACCCAAGTTTCTTTCTTTTTTTTTTTAGATTTCATTCATTCATTCATTCATTCATTCACTCATTCATTCATTCATTCATATAGAAGGGAAGGGAAGGAGAAGAAGAGAAACATCAATATGTGGTTGCCTCTCAAGTGGCCCCCAGCATGGACCCAGCCCACAAGCCAGGCATGAGCCCTGACTGGGAATTGAACCAGTGACCCTTTGGTTTGCAGCCTACGCTCAATCCACTGAGGTACACCAGCTAGTCCCAAGTTTCTTTATACCACTTTATACGGCTTAATGTCACTCTAGTTCATTAATTTTCGGAGCGACTATATATATATATATATATATATATATATATATATATATATATATATTTTTTTACTTAAGTAAGGGAATAAATCACAATTTAGTTATCCACGTTTCCTGTTGATGGACGTTTAGGATTTTTACCATTGCTGTTATAGTCTCTGGGCACATATGTGAGTTTCCCCATAGTGTACACCATGGGGAATTGTGATAGTAGAGTATTATATCTTCCCTTTATTACACAATATATTGTTATCTTTTTTTAAAATATATTTTGATTATGCTACTGCAGTTGTCCCATTTTTTCTCCCCTTTATTCCCCTCTGCCCTGTATCCCAGATCCCTACAGCATGCCCCCCTGCCCTTAGTTCATGTCCTTGGGTCATACTTATAAATAACCTCTTTGGCTTCTCCATTTCCTATACCATTCTTAACATTCCCATGTCTATTTTGTACCTACCAGTTCTGCTTCTTATTCCCTGTACCCTTTTCTCCCATTTCCCCCCTCCCCCTCCCTGCTAACCCCCCATGTGATCTCCATTTCTGTGATTTTGTTTCTGTTATAGTTGTTTGCTTAGTTTGTTTTTGTGTTTTTTTTAGGTCTGGTTGTTCATAGTTGTGAGTTTATTGTCATTTTACTGTTTGCATTTTTTCAATAATTTATTTTTATTTATTTATTTAATTGTTGCTCAAGTACAGTTTTCTGTTTTTTACTCCCATCCCAGCCCACCCCCCCCCCAGTGTTCTCCACCTCCCTTCCATTTCCACCCCCCTTAGTTGTTATCCATGTGACCTTTATACTAGTTCCTGTAAATCCTTCCCATTCCCCCCACCCCCTGAAATTCCCTCCCCTCTCCCCTCTGGTCACTGTCCCCCTGTTCTCTATTTCAGTGTCTTTGGTTATATTTTGCTTGCTTGTTTGTTTTGTTGTTTAGCTTCCTGTTAAAGGTGTGATCATATGGCATTTGTCTTTCAATGCTTGGCTTATTTCACTCAGCATAATGTTTTCCATTTCCATCCATGCTGTTGCAAAGGGTAGGAGCTCCTTCTTTCTTTCTGCTGCATAAAATTCCATTGTGTATATGTACCATAATTTTTTGATCCATTCATTTACTGACTTTGTATTTTTTATCTTTTTTTTTTAGATAAGTCCCTTTAACATTTCTTATAATAAGGGCTTGGTGTTGATAAACTACTTTAACTTCATCTTATCTGGGAAGCACTTTATGTGCCCTTCCATTCTAAATGAAAGCTTTACTGGATAGAGTAATCTTGGATGTAGGTCCTTGCCTTTCATGACTTTAAATACTTCTTTTCAGCCCCTTCTTGCCTGCAAGGTTTCTTTGGAGAAAACAGCTGCTAGTCTTATGGAAACTGCTTCATAAGTAAATGTCTCCTTTTCTCCTGCTGCTTTTAAGATTCTGTCTTTATCTTTAATCTTGGGTAATGTAATTATGATGTGCCTTGGTGTGTGCGTCCTTGGGTCCAACTTCTTTGGGACTCTGAGCTTCCTGGACTTCCTGGAAGTCTATTTCCTTTGACAGATTGGGGAAGTTCTCCTTCATTATGTTTTCAATTTCTTGCTCTTCCTCTTCTTCTTCTGGCACTCCTATGATTTGGATGTTGGAACATTTAAGGTTGTCTCAGAGGTTTCTAAGCCTCTCCTTTTTTTTTTTTTTGAATTCTTGTTTCTTCACTCTGTTCTGGTTGAATGTTTATTTCTTTCTTCTGTTCCAAAACATTAATTTGAGTCCTGGTTTCCTTCCTGTCATTATTGGTTCCCTGTGCATTTTCCTTTATTTCACTTTGCATAGCCTTCACATTTTCCTCTATTTTATGACCATACTCAATCATTTCTGTAAATATCCTGATTACTAGTGTTTTGAACTGGGCATCTGATAGGTTGGCTATCTCTTCATCACTTAGTTCTATTTTTGGAGCTCTGATCTGTTCTTTCATTTGGGCCATATATTTTTGTCTTAGTGCACCTGTTACACAGCAAGGGGTGGAGCCTTAGGTATTCAC